TCTTCAGTTCTAGCCAAAATCACAGTTGAGCAAGCTCCGTGTTTACTTTTGAGACACAACATTTTAGAGAAAACAAATCAATTACTGTTTTTTTCCCTTAACAGACTGCAGATTAGAGGAATTTAAAGCTTTAACAGTTCATCTGTATGACCTAGGATGACCATATCCAACAGTAATGCAAACTCTTTTCATGTTTTTCTTTAATTTTTAATAGAAAGCAAATACATACACATTAAGTTTAACACTAATGAATGCTAATTGTGTACTATAAAAGGGATTATGTCATAATCTCTTAAAAAAATTTAAAAAATTTGCAGAGAACTGTTCACAACAGAGGAAAAATGCTTGTGTATCAAAATATGCAGAACTTGATACCAACAAGTCTTACCAATGAAGTGTATAAATTTATTAAAATTGAAATATTGCAAACATTAGAGTAACTTACATCTGAACTTTTCATTTGTTCCTAAATTTGAAAGCAGAGGCAAAAAGTAAACTACAAAATAAGAATACAGAAAATTGAACGTACCGTCAACTTTTATCACACACAAAAAAAAGATGCTGTCTATTTTATAAAATGTGACACATATAGCAAACCCAGCACAAATATCTGTCTTTAGTTTTCTTACTTTAAAAAAAAAAAAAAAAAAAAAGTGAATTTATTGTTGCTGGCAGGATGATATGGATGAAATAACCAGGAAGAATTGAGGGGGGAAGGGGAGAAAGAGGAGCTAAGAAATCAGATACATTCAATGAGCCTTCAAACTTACTTCAGCAGTAGGGATAAATAATGTAATCAACTCGGCTTCATTTTTTTTCTTCCTACCTCCCTAGTGCAATTGGCAGATATTAAAAAATAAAACTTTAAAATTCATGAGCAGTGGTGTGTGGAAGAACTATCACTATATAATAAGAAATATAAAGCGATATCCATGCAAGCCCTTTGTGTAGATATGCATTTGCAAGTACCTTTTAACTCACACTTTTCACCATGTGAAAAAGAAATTATTGTTTAAATTTATATGTATGGCAACTTTTTTTTCTTTTTTTTTTCTCTTCCCCCTGCCCCACCCCCTCCATCCCTCCCCAAATTGCAGTTTGGGAATGTAGGCGAATACAAAGATTTTCAACAGCATTTGGCTTTTTGGCTAACATGAGCACTATATGACAAGGCAACGTAGTCTGAAAGATTTTATATAATAAGCAGAGTTGAAGAAATACTGTTATAGTACCCCCTAATTAGGGGAAATATCTGGAAAACAGCAATTTGGTAAAAGTCACCAATATCATATGGTACTATTATCATGACAAATGATCAATCATCATTTGAATGAGGTGACTTTAATCCCGATTTTCCTAAACAAATTAATACTCAGTAAACCCAGTAGAAATATAATTAATTGCTGAAAAGGTGTTCCTTTTGTAGTTTACCATGGACCCATTAACAACTACGGAGAAAAATTAACTGAAGTAAGAGGTCAGAATATCTATATTTTTATATCATATACAGTCATATAGATAATAATTTTCGACACCTAAACCAAACGGACTTCTTGTAATAGAAAACGACTGGGTCACTTCAACAGTCACATTTCAGTGGTGTCCGTGATGCCTAAATATACAAATTTTTAAACTATTAAATGTTTGGTATGTGAAATGAAATGATGGAGTGGAGTCAATAGCCACCTTCAGTGTTAAACATCACCTAATCAAGCCTACATCAAATATTTCTCATAGCCACCGAGATACAATAAATACGTATAACCTTGCATTACTTGGTGTCATAGCTTAAAATTAGCACTACATACTGAAAACTCTGATTTAATATCTAAGAAGTAAATTTTGTTTAAATTAATTTTGCCACGTCATGAATGTTATGACTTCTGACAGCTAAAAGGTACGACTTTTCCACTTTTACCAATGGCAACTGGAATTGCCAAGCTAAAACTCAGGGGGCAAAAAATAAGCGAGATCTGGCCCGGAACATCCCCATCGCTAACGCGCAGCTCTGAGGCTCCCGCATCTCCGGGAAGCTGAAGGGTGCCCCCACCGCAGGAAAGGGCTGCTCCCTCGGCGGAAAGGGAGGAAGGGACAACCTTTTGTCCGCCCGCTGTAACTTTCGGATTTACCCGGCGCTGGTCCGTGACCCTGTGGGAAAGGGGCTCTTTGACATTTCCATCCCAAAGAAGCCGCCCCCGACACGGCAGCGCCGGCCTTGTCGAGCCGGCGTCTCCGGGAGCAGCGGCCGCCGCCCGGGGCGGGAGCCAGGGCCGGACTGGGGCCGCCGCGGGCCTTGCCCCGCACCAGTCGGTCCCCGGGACCCGCACGCCGGAGTTGGTCCCAGCTTGTCCGCTTTTCTTTCCCGTGCACAGCCCAGCCGTGCCCTGCTGCTGCCAACTCCGCGCCGGCTCTGAGGGTACGGTGAGCCCGGCATCGCCCCCGGGCCCGAGGGGCGGGCTGGGTCGCGCCGGGCCCCATCCTGGGGCAGTGGGGCGGGATGTGCCGGGCCGGAGAGGTGCCTCCCCCTCTCCGCCCGCGGCCGGGGCCGGTGGCGGTGCCGCCGACCCGGCTCTGCGTGCGCCGGTCGCTGCGGAAGGGGGAAAAGGGAAGAGGGCCGACCTGCGGCCCCGCCGCCGAGCAGGTTGCCCGCGCAGCGGGGGGCAGCCGCCGGTAGGAGCAGCGGTGAGGCGCCGGCCCGTGCCCTCGGAGCCAGCCCGAGCCCCTGGAAGCGCCTGCTCTGGGAAGGCTGGGGCGGCCGGCCGCCGGAGCTCGCAGCGCCGCGGCCGCGCACGCCACCGCCCCGCGGGGGAGGAGAGAGGGAGGGAGGCGGCAGCCCCGGGCCCGGCGTAGGGACGGCGCAGCGCTGCTCGGCGGCCGCTCCGGAGGCACCGGGACCGGGCGCTCTGTGCCGCTGCCGCCGCCGGACTCACCGCGGCCGGGGGGAGGCACGCGTGTCTAAGCGGAGGAGGGAGAAAGCCCGGGAGGAAACTGCCTCCTCTCCGCCCCAAACAGCCACAAAGTGGTCGCCCTTCTACCGGCGGCCAAGGGCTGCCGCCGAAAAGAGGTAAGCTGCTTCGGGACGACCGATCACCTGCAGTTTTTCAGCGACAGCCCCAGCAACTCTTGAGCAGGAAAGGATTCCGGTCGGCTTCCTCCTCGGGAGCGGCACGGGAACACCCATATAACCGCTAGACCGAGGGAGCCAAGCGCACAGTCACAAATTCTCCGCTATGTGCAATAAAGTTGGTCGCATTCGTACGCTGAATAAATGTCGTGAAATGTTCTTTGTGGTGTGACTTCTCAGCGACTGATATCCTAAGTTACTTTAGGAAAAGGTAATCGGTCAGTAGTTTAAAGATTCCAAGCGGTTGTTTTTTGGGTTTTTTTTCCCCATGTATATATATATATATATATATATATATATGTATGTATGTATCGATATAATTTAGGGCTCTCTTAAAGTGAAGCTCAGTAAATGCTGTGAAGCAGAAGAGCTTACCACTCTAGCTTATTTGCAAATAAATGTCCCGATTACCAACACTTAAAGTACCGAAGGCGAAATTTGCTAATTACACATCACAGGCGAAACCCCAAACTGTCAGACAAGCAAGCCAGCATGTTTGCAGTCGCTAGCGTGCCTCCCGTGTGCACATTTACTAAGCGCAGCTTGCTAGCACAGCTCGCTGTACGATAAATCCTCCAGGTTTGAAATTAATAGGTACTTATAGTGCGTCTCGAAAAGCAGCCGAACATCCACTCCTCACAACATACCGGAGAGCAATACCGAATATAAAAACGACGCTAAGAATTGACAAAGGAGATTTACCGTCTGTATCTGCTACTTGATTTTTGGAAGGAACGTGAAAAAGACCTGACAGATATGTTTAGCGATTGATTCTCCCTTCACAAGGTACAAATACAAAAAGCAAGGCAGAGACAATGCCGAAATGCATTAAACCTCAAAATCGATTAGAGCCCGTCAGAAGATCCTTTAAAACAATACAAATCGTGGACTTCTGAGCAATATTTTATTCCAAAGAACACTAAATTTGCCCTGAATCCGCTGCCTTGTTCACTGGCCGGTTCACGAGAGAGAAAAAAAAAAAAAATCCAAACCTACTTCTCGCTTGCAATTACAGACAACTATCAGGAGGAAAAGGACAGTGTGATGTGACGCCGAGTGGGGGTTAATGGATTTACGCCTGTGCTCCTGCCGGAGCGAGCCCGGTCTGTAGCCCCCTAGTTGATGGATGCCCATTAATACACCTGCATGCACGTCCTGGCCATGAGGAGGCATGCAGGGACTCAGTACGGAGCGGCACAGTTTTGCCAAGTCCTCTCGAAACGTCAATACCCTTCAAGTTACACCCAAAGGAGAGCGATTTCTCTTGATTTCCGAGTGTACAGAGAACCGGGGCGGCTTTCTAGCCGGTAACCTTCTACCTTTCTATATGTGCCTGCGTGTGCGTGTGTGTGTGCATGTGGCTGTGTATACATATCTATCTCCTAGAGAGGGATTAATTAGCCGGGTTTGAGCTGAAAGAGGCTGCAGTGACGAGCCCAGTGGCGATTGGCCGCCCGCCTGCCTGGCCCTGCCTTTATAATTTCCACACGAGTGCATTTGGGCTCTTATACAAACCAACAGCCAGCTTCTTCTGACATACACACACGGCACTTTTTTCCACCATCTGATTAACCGCCCTGCATACACACGGTGATTACTACGGGAAAACATAAATAAATACGAAGAGGTTTTATTATTTTGACTACTGGAACCCTCGCTGTGTCTCAGTGCAACTTTTGTTTTTTCTTGCTGCTGAGAAAGGTGCTGCTCTCGATGCTTTCCTCTCACTCACGGACCCTTTAAAAAAAGGGGAAGGAAAAATATCGCCCCCTCCAGTCCCCCGCCCGCTCCCCCCTCCCTTCACCCCCCCGCCACACACACTTCAAGACGGCTGATCTAAAAAAGCAGGAAGAGAGCATCTGAGGAGCAGCAGCCCCGGCGCATTTTGAAAAACATTTGTTACATTTCAGAGTGCGGCAGCCTGTTTCTCCTCTGAAGTTGGCTCCAGCCATAGCAGCCGCATTGGATCCCACAGCCTATTGCGAGACTCCGGTATACAACCCGGATCTCTGCCCCAACATGATCGCGGCCCAGGCCAAGCTGGTGTATCATTTGAATAAATACTACAATGAGAAATGCCAAGCCAGGAAAGCTGCAATCGCGAAAACGATCCGAGAAGTCTGCAAAGTGGTGTCGGACGTGCTGAAGGAGGTGGAGGTGCAGGAACCTCGCTTCATCAGTTCCTTGAACGAGATGGACAATCGCTACGAGGGGCTGGAAGTCATCTCCCCCACGGAGTTTGAAGTCGTGCTGTATTTGAACCAAATGGGGGTTTTCAACTTCGTGGACGACGGCTCCTTGCCGGGCTGCGCTGTGTTAAAGTTAAGCGACGGGCGCAAGAGGAGCATGTCCCTCTGGGTGGAGTTCATCACGGCGTCTGGCTACCTCTCCGCTCGCAAAATCCGGTCCAGATTCCAGACTCTGGTGGCTCAAGCCGTGGATAAGTGCAGTTACAGAGACGTGGTAAAGATGGTGGCGGACACCAGCGAAGTGAAGCTGAGGATCAGGGATCGGTACGTCGTGCAAATCACTCCAGCGTTCAAGTGCACGGGGATCTGGCCGCGGAGTGCTGCACACTGGCCGCTTCCCCACATCCCCTGGCCGGGACCCAACCGGGTGGCGGAGGTCAAGGCGGAAGGCTTCAACCTCTTGTCCAAGGAATGCCACTCTCTGGCCGGCAAGCAGAGCTCGGCCGAGAGCGATGCCTGGGTGCTGCAATTCGCGGAAGCTGAGAACAGACTGCAGATGGGCGGCTGCAGGAAGAAATGCCTCTCCATCCTCAAAACCTTACGGGACCGTCACCTGGAGCTGCCGGGCCAGCCCCTGAATAATTATCACATGAAGACTCTGGTTTCCTACGAATGCGAAAAGCATCCCCGCGAATCGGACTGGGACGAGTCGTGCCTGGGGGACCGGCTCAACGGGATTTTACTGCAGCTCATCTCGTGCCTCCAGTGCAGGAGGTGCCCGCACTACTTCTTGCCCAACTTAGACCTCTTTCAGGGCAAACCTCACTCGGCCCTGGAAAACGCGGCCAAACAAACGTGGCGACTGGCTAGGGAAATACTTACCAACCCGAAAAGTTTGGAGAAACTTTAGAGAGTAACTATAAAACCAGCCTGACCGATAAATCTGCTAATTTCCCGATGAAGTTTAAGATGCCTGTTTGAAAAGTCATATATTTCCACTTGTCAATGCAAATAATATTCTCTTTTAAAAAGGAATATATCTTAGGCTCTTCACAAAGAAAAGCAAATGAGAACAGCAAGCATCGTTCCTCCCCGTCACAGTTTTGCAGTTCCCCGTGAGGGAAAAACAAAAAGAAAGGAAAAAAAAAAAGAAAAAAAAAGTGTGCTACCTGAAAAGGAAAATTGGCCGTAATTTCATTGTGACCATTCTGCCTAAAAGCGGTACCAACGGATTATAACAAAACCCGGTATTTTTATGTAAACCTTCTGTGAGTAAAAGCTATTTGGATATGCCACCTGAACAAACCCTAATGTACCTTTTAATTTGTATCAAATATTGTGATCTCACATTGTCTTTGAAATTGTGGATGTTGGTGTTTTGTGATTTGGTGAACAGAAGTTAAATTGCCATTTTGGATACTTCAAGGACATTTTCTGCTAAAAAGAAGATACCATTTAAAAAGGTAGATTTTATCACGGTACTTTTGTTAATTGTCTTTTGGAGTGTCTGAACTTAACAAGTTTACATTTTTCGTTTCATATATATTGCTTGTTCTATTTCTAACATTCCATAAATATACTTGAAATGTTATTTAAATATATTCAAAAGAAATTTGGATTCTGCTTATATAATAACGCTTGAATATTGGAATTATATATTTGAAAATGCACTTGAAATACACTGGATAATTACTTTTTGTGATTTAGATTTTAATTTCTGTTGCTGATTTATTTAATTACAAGCTAATAAATGAAGTAAAATGCATATGGGTAAGCGTTTCAATATCGGATCAAGTTTTCCACTTGAAAAACCAGAGGCAGCTATGTTTTGTGGATTTTGCCTTTCTGTGGATAGTTGCTTAAATCCTGCAAAGCAGAAAACTAAAGGGCAGAGTCCTAACTTTGCATTTTGAATAGTTTTGTAGAATAGGGAAGTATTGGTTGCACAAACGTTGGAATTTAGCTCCAGATCACCATCAGCAACTGTCAGACACCAGCGTACTTATTAATACAGTTACACTTTTTCAGCCGTCAGGAAAGAAGTCTGTTTTGAAGAGTTTATTATACGGTGAAGTTGTGTTTCTGCTGGCTTTTGAGCAAAGCTCAGGAAACACAACGTATCTGTGAATCAGTGTTTTGAGTGAGCAGTGATCCTGATAAAACTAGCAATTTGGTGCAGGTACTAATAAAGCAGAAAATAAAATTTATAGGTGAGAGCCAGCACCAATAAAGTGAACAACAATATTACTTCTGAACTACAAATCCGTTACGAATGTGATAAGATTGCCAGTTCCACTCCCAGAAATCAAGCCCCTCCACTCCCAGGGCATTCCGAGGGAATAACATGTGCATGCTTACAAAACTGCACGCAATCCAAAGCCGCCCGTGTGTACCGCGCTGCCTGGTACCTCTCAGGATGCATTTCTTTAAAATGGCTTTTAAGTCAAAACGCAAATTAAAAACGCGGATTTTGATTAGGGTCCTAACAGTCAACAAGTGCTGGAAGAGGCCGATCTCCTGTGTGACACCCACTGACAACTATTTCCAGCGGGTGCGCTTTAGCGAAACTGTTATACCCAGAGATTCTGTCAGAAAATTGTTACCGCAGCACTGCGAATAAAGTCCCGAGTTTGACAAACTATTCGCCAAAGAGAAATTACTTCATTACAAACGTATTCAGACGAGGAGTTTTCTGGGACATTATTTATAATATTTCTGCATTTAAAAACCCCAAACCCCAAGGTCTTGGTAAAAGCACCTCTCCTATTTCCTCTCTTCCAACATTTTCCAGAGCAATAGCAAAGAAATACAGCAAGAGCGATAAGAATAAAAAGGCATGCAGACGAGAGGAGCGCCCTGTTAGACACGTTCCTTCCGTCTGCCCCCTCCTCCCCCGCGTGGCATCCCCCGCGCCGTTCCCGCGGGGAGAAAGCCACGCAAAGGTTTCCGCTCAAGTCACGCACCCCTCCCTGCTCTGTTGCGGCTGGGCTGGAGGTTTTCACGGAAGGGAGGGGGAAGTGGGGCGGCGCTGGGGAATTGGTAGTAGTAAATGACTTCAGAAAAAACCAGAGCTTTCCCAGGAACCAAGTCTTCGGTACATATCTATTCTCCCCTCCCCCATTTTCTTTTTTTCCCCCAGAAAACAAGCATTAACTTTCATTTCAGTAGTTGCAAAGTGTTTAAAAAATGCGCCGTATTTTCTTAAGTGGAAACTAACGTTTTTGAAATAACGGGATTCTCCGATAACCTCGGAAGGCGTAAAACCCTCCGCTGTGTCTCGGGAAGGCTGCGGGCTAGGACTGCTGCTCCCTCCAGGGATTTCAGAGCAATTGGCTTAACTACTAAATCTGACCACGTTCATACAAAGGCACCGCGCGAAAGGCTGCTGGAAACCGCGTACGCTGCCGTAATAGAGGATTTAACATCATTAATACATTGCGCTTTTTTTTTTTTTTTTTTTTTTTTTTTTTTTTTTTTTTTTTTTTTTTTTAAATGCAGCGAAAGACGGCAGACAGGAGCGGAGTTTGGAACGAGGGGGCGGCCCCGGCGCACGTGTGCCGGGACGAGGGACCGCGACCGCTCCCGCCCGCCCGCCGCACTCACCTTGGGGTCGATCTTCTTGAAGGCCGAGTCATCCTCATCCACCTCGAAGTAGATCTCTGTGGTGGTGATGGAGAGCGTCCCCTTGGCCACCACCACGGGGGCGATGAGCTGTGCCGGCGTGCTGAGGACCACGGGGCCTGCAAGGCAAGGGCAGCGGCGTCAGGTTGGAGGCGCCCGGCCGGCCCATCCCCGGTGGCCCTTCCCTCCGCCGAGCCAGCGCCCGGCGAGCCCCCTCGTAAACCCAGTTTGTAAATGCCGTGTTTGTTCCCCTCCTGCCCGCGGCCAGCGCTTTGAACTCTGCGGCCGGGGCACAAGCGAGTTTGTGAGCTCCGGGGTTGCGAGATAAATCACAGCAGCGAAATTCAGAGGGGTTAGGGTGAAAAATAGCTGCCTCTTAGAAGAAGGTCCCCTCTCTTTTCATGCCCTTTTGCTCCTCGTTAACGCTATCACTGTTTATGTGCGATAGCGGCGGCTCGTTCCGCACCGCTTCGATATGGCAGGCCAGGGTCCCCGCGGCGGCCGGGCCGGGCCGGGGGCTCAGGGCAGGGCAGCCCGCAGCCCCTGCCCGCCACTCTGACCCTGCGAGGCCTGGGGGCATTATTTTTAAGTCTGGATCCAGACCTCAACTCGGACAAGTAAGGCCAAGTCAGTCAGGGGGTTTTGTTGTTTGGGTTTTTGTTTTCCTTTTTTTTTTTTTTTTTTTTTTTTTTTTTTTGGCACCTATTTCAATTCCCCATGCACATAAAGGCTAGCATCATTAAATACATTTACGGCAAAATAATGTTTGTTTCAACTCGCTGCCGCTTATCCTTTTAAAATTACTATAACAATACTTCGCTCAAATATATTCCTTAACAAGATGCTTTCACGGGCATTGAAAAGATGAGATGGGGAAAACCTATTGTAAAAGGCAGCCTTCTCCACACAAATTGTTAGATTTTAACTCAAGAAAACAAAAACCAAAACAACCCTTCTTTAATCCAAAAGACAAGAGGATCGCTTTTTCACCATCTTATCTTCAATATCAATGCTATCTTCTGTTAAAGCTGACAGCGGCCGTGTTTAGGAAGCTTACTTGCTTCGAAAAAAATATTATGTATGAACTATTCTTCTATATTTAACCACGAAAGCCTGTGGGATAATTTGTATATACATACATAAACACACAGAGCCACATACGTGTACAAACAAGCATCTGAAACACAAATAATACAGCCCCAGTATTGAGAAGCTGGGTACATCACCTGACTGATGCACCTTTTAGAAACTGGCAAGCTGACCATCTCAGGAGGTACTAAACAGTTTGCTTGTCATACGCAGCTAAAAATCTCCCTTGCGATAAGAGGACCCCCACTCAGAGGGCAGAGAGTCGTGAGCCTCCCGCTGCCGTTCCCGGCCGCTCGCCCCTCCAGCCGCGCCGTCCGGGCGCTGGCGCGGCCGAGCCGAGCCCGGGGCTGCGGCTCGCACCGGGGCCAGCGCCTCGGATGCGCCCTCTCCTCCTCCCCCAGCACTGCCCGCATACTGCACTGCCAGCTCTTGCAAGCAGCACTTCAAATTACTCACTTAGCCCAAATTACTCCTGTATCTGCGCATCTAACTGTCATGTTGTTAATGCTTTACTTTACTGTAACACCCAATTTGAGCCCTTATTGCACAATATTTTGTCATTTACGTTGCAAAATAAATAAAGAAGAAGGCAGGGATTGCTGTGCGTACAGGGGGAAGCTAAAACGCACAGTTTCAGTGACAGCTTTCAGCAGCCCAGGGTGGCGGACGGGATAATATTGATACAAACTCTATTTTCTTTCATTTTATTGTTTTCCATCTCCTAATAAACCGAGGTAGCCTCTTGACCCCAGTCAGCTGATCGGAATCACATGCGCCGGGCTTGCCTTGCTGCTCTCCCAGTCTCGCCTCCATCTTCTCTCCCTCCCTTGGCGGTGGGAAAGGAGCCGATCCGAGCCGGGGAAGCCCGGCTGGAGGCTCCGAAGGGCAGGGTGATCGATCCGAAACGCCGCTTTAAAGCCTCATCAATCTTCATCTAGGTTGCTCAAGTAATTACGCCCGATTCTCTTGTACGATTACAAGTGGATTTGGGTTTCTATTCCCCAGGCCCCCTTTCTTTCTGTTTACAGAAGGGGGGTCTGGGCAGCCGGCGGTTCCTTGCCCTGCAGAAGCACTTGCCCTCTCAAGCAGAGCGCCCTACTCCTCCTCTGTCCCTTCTCGGACACACTTGGCCCAGCGCAGGGTGATGGGCTCCCGGGCCTTTGTGCGGGGAGAAAAGCGCCTTCAAAAGACGCGTCCTGGAAAAGACCCGATATTCTATCACTTTAAGGAGGCGTTTGTGGGCTTTGCTGAATCCCAGAAGGAAGAACATCAATTTAATCCAATTACCTCTTTTTCCCTAGTGTTGTGTGGCTGAAATAAAAATAAAGCCACCGCTATTTAATGGCCAAAAGGCCAAACCCTATAATCTGCCATTCAGGCGAAGACAATGGTGCTCCCCGGTTAGCGGGTGATGTGC